TTGCCGTAGCTTATCGCTTGAGACAGCGTACTTTAGGTCACCGACCTTTCGTTCTTCCCAAGAACCAAGTATGAGCTAGCGGACCGCAATCCGCTTACTCCAAGAGTAATTATTGCCTGCCTAAGGCTAAATGACTCATCGATTTTAAATCCAAAAGTGATTTTTTTTATTTTTATTTGCGGCTAAACCGCCTAATTTTAAATGTATAGATTTTCCTAAATTAATGCAGTAAAATCTAAATACATGCATAACTACTGGCTACCTAGCAGGGTACGTGTAACCCCGTTACACTTACCTATAATGATCATAGAAATGATCTTAAAATCCGTTCAGAAGCAGATGCAGCCAAATTGAGTCGAGGTGTAGCGAAAGTGGAATTTGGAAGACCGGTCCATCTGATGGACGCGGCCAATTATGTTATCAAAGCATAGAGTGCTATATTGGCGAAGACATTGAAGGACTGCTTTGCAAAAGCAGATGTAATTCCTGAAACTCGTACAAAAGGACAGACAATCGACGAAGGAGAAAGTAAGGACAGCATTCAAATGATTAGGTCTTGGTGATCAAGAACTGCATCATTGCACATCAATGAATCGACTCGAAATCCCATCTCTTAGAACACAGCATCGTGAGTTTTAGATCTAGATAGACCCCATTTTGAAGTGTATCAAGAAGCGGTTGATCAAAGAGAAGGATGGAGTCGAGTCAGGAAACGATAAAGTGCTTTTGGAGGGATCAGTCGATATTGACAAAGAATTTATAAAAACCAGGCCACGCACGACATCCTCTTGCAAGTTGCAAGAATTTGCAATCAACCAGTATCACGAATTTTTATCTAAAGCAAGATTGAGTTTCAAGAATTCGCAATTAACCAGAATTACGATTTTTGTTCAAAGCAAGATTGATGGTATGCTCGATGAAATACTCGTTCTGATGTTTTTAGAAATAGAATCGCTGAAAGTCGGCAAAATAATTTCGGATTTACTCAATCTTAATGAAAGTTTCCGAATATGTTGATCCGCTTTTTGTCAAACTTCAAATTCGCTGACTTTATCAAATGCCTGTAAAACGACATTGTAAAAACCATGTAATTAAACATTTGCATTCGAATCCTCAATCGTGAAAGTGAAACCACTTAACCTTAAACGTTCGGCTAACACGAGTCCGTTTTCTGTTCGAACAAAATTATTGTACTGATGCAAGTAAAATAGACATTTACATCTAGAGATTCTAGAGCTGATTGTAGTCGTCATAGCCAGCACTTCCGAAGTCAAAGGCAACTACTTGTTGCACTTTTCTAATTACCGATAGCCTGATTCGCCCTGTCAACTGTTAGAACAAATGTATCACCATGCTGATCCTGGGGACTATTACTCGTGCAAAGAGAAGAGAAGCTACTCGCACGAACGATATACAACTGGAAAGGTTTATCAGTCCACAAGTGGAAATTTAAGAATAATTATTTCTAAGGCACGAATATTCTTGGCATAGGGTGAAGTCTGTGGATTCGTCTTGAGCATTTGAACGATATGTCGACGCTCATTGCTATATTCGTGCAACTAGCATTTTTTGTTGTTTACGGCCCTGAGGCTTTGACAGTGGAGACATTATGTGATCGCCGGTGGCCAGCGAGCTTGGTTCCTCATCGTTGATCATAATTTTGATCAGCACGTTCATGACAATTTAATACATTTGCAGGCTACAGCACATAGGCCAAGAGCGAAGAAAGCGCCAACAGCGCAGTCTATATTCTTATTTTCGAGCCATATACCATCAGCGCGACAAAATCAGTCTTTTAACAAATTACTAAGAAGATATATAAATAAGGTAGTAAAGTACAAATTACATTGACCATGGAAATGAATCTTGATCATGTGAATTGTTGATGTTGTGCCAGGCCCCAGAAATCTACATCCGCCGAAAAGCGAGAGAACATAAAGTAATTTCATCGATGAGTGATGAAGTAAGTCATTATTTTAAATGATGAGCCACTTGGTTATTTCGACACAGTTGAATTTTGACGGACCTCCATGTATTATTGGTAAAGTTTTCGTGTGGAATAATACATCAACGATGCGATTACCAAATGCATAAGTTGAAGGCGTCAGACAGTTTTGATTAAGCTAATGCAGTTGTGTATTGTGACAGAATTACGGATACAATAACGATACATGGCTGAGGATCATATTGCTATACCCTCGTGAACCTTGAAATTGGCAAACATTTCAAGTACAGGATGCCTGGGGGGGAGATCAAGTTTCTTTCGGTAGGCTTCAACAAAAGTCTCGAATCTTTCGCGTTGACGGCTGTACCACGCATCGTATTGTTGTGGCGACTCTTCTTTGTTTGTCTCAGCTAATTCCTCCAGCGCTCGACTGTACAAAATCGGTGATACACCATCTGCGACTAATTCTTCGCCGGTATGGTCTCCCAATACTTTTGTTGTGGTGTCGCTTAATCTGTAAAAGATGCTTGTTTGATCTATGTTGTCCATTTCCTGCCATTCTTTCTTCCAGATCTCCATCCCGGCTGAATGAGTTTTCGCATCCGATAACATGGATAACCACTTATCGTGTTCATCTACAAGACTGACGAATTGCGCTAATTTTGGAT